TAATAATAATAATAATAATAATAATAATAATATCACCCCAGTGACCATCCATCTAAACACTTTGTTATCGACTCTTGCTTGACTTAAGTTTTGAGTTTGCACTCACTACTCACTATTGCCACTCTTGCACACAAAAAAATAGTGAAGAATTTTTTAAATGATGTTACAGTTGATGACACACTGACAAACAAAATGTCCAACACGATGACTGTAATAGTAGCAATCCGTATCCTGGCCTTGGATAACTATTGTAGTTGTTTATGGTCGTATTATTTGGCTCTACAATGAGCGTGTGAGCGGGTAGTTGGAGGGCGCCACTTGTAAGTCCTACTTCTTTACATTCCCTCTGCTTTTTCGTTCTGTCTTACCTTTTCCTAACTCTATAAGACCGTTATTGTGTCGATGTGCTTCTCCTTGCTCAAACAATTGTTTAAAAATACCCTGAGCGTTTGTAGTTAATCTAAAGGTCAAGAGCAACAGCACTGGCAGCACAAATTGCTGGGTTGTGATAACAGAGTCACCAGCTGCAACAGAATGCTTGCGTCGGCTCCGGTAGCACCCCACCACAAACCACAAACCTGCCCGTGGGTGGTTGGCGGGTGCTCTGGTGTGGTTTTCTTCTTGTTTCCTTTCAAACATCTATCGTCCTCATCTCCCCTTCTTCTTTATTTTATGTTTGTTACTCTCTTATAACAGCTCTAATCTTCTGGCGCTCATATGACCTTATGCAGTTGCGAGCGCCGTAAAACCTCTACTAAAACTACCTAAACAAACCTGCCCTCATCTCCCTTTCTCCCTCCCCCACCATCCGCCCTTTTTTGTGTGTGTTAAATCAACACCACGCCTTCGTGTTTGTGGCACCAATGAGACTAATGAAGCATTAAAGGTTCGTGCAAAAAGGCGATAATTATTGTATGTAGGTTCTTACGAAAAAGTTGGAACTCTCGCCATGAGAACCAAAAGAGCAAACAGCACCGGTAGCAGTGGCAATGTCATCATCAACATCGTCATCATCATCGTCATCATCATCATCATCATCATCATCATCATCATCATCATCATCATCATCATCATCATCATCGTCATCATCATCATCATCATCTCATCATCATCTTTGTCGTCATCGTCGTCGTCGTCGTTATTATCAATCACCATCGTTATTGTTGTAATGTGATAGAAAAAGTAGGACTGGGTAACTGGGTATTTTAGGATAATTTTATGGTATTATTAAAAAATATGGTTCAACATTCACGCCATTTTGGGGCTTCATCAGGAACATTACTTCGAAACAACTACACTATAGATCTAGTAACAAAAATATTCACCGACTACGTGGAGCGCAGTGGTGCGTACAAAAAAAGAAATAATATAAACCGTAAGGAATTGGAAAAATGGATGTGTTGAAACCATCATCAATCATCACCCAGCAACAAACAGAACACGTGTGGCGTCTGAAATGACAACAGAAGGCCCCACGTCATCTCCTCACCAACGTACCCACTCAGCTGTTTCCACCGGAACATGAGCTGTGTGACACTTCCAGAGCAATAACAACGCCCACAACAACGGTTTATCAGAGAACCTCCCGCGGTGGCCGCTGGGTCAGATTCTGAGCCCAGGTTATAAATAGTGGCAATATACCCCGAAACTGGCGCCGTCGACCTTTGTAACCACAAGCTGTGGCTTGGAGTACACTCCCCCCCCCCCTTT